GGGTTTTGGGGTCAGAATTTGGGGTTTTGAGGTGGGGATTTGGGTTTTTTGGGGTTTTGAGGTGGGGGTTTGGGGTTTTTGGGTCAGATTTTGGGGGTTTTGGGTCAGATTTTGGGGTTTTGAGGTGGGGATTTGGGGGTTTTTGGGTCAGATTTTGGGGTTTTTGGGTTTTTTGGGGTTTCACCCCAAATCTCCCGTGCAGGTCCCGGCCTTCGAGGGGGACGATGGGTTCTGCGTCTTCGAGAGCAACGCCATCGCCTACTATGGTGGGCAATTAGCCTTCGTTCCTCTTCGTTAATTAATTAATGAATTGATTAACCCCTTCCTGTGGAGCTCAGTCACTGATAGCTCATTAATGAGCTTATTAATGATTTCTCTTGTCCTTTAATGAGTCCTTCTCCTAAATGATTATTCTGCTGGCTAATTAATGGTCCTCCTGGCTAATTAATTACCCCTTTGGTTAGGATTTATTTAGGATTTATTTAGGATATTTTTCCCCCCCCCCAGGTGCTGGACCCCGCGTTCCGGGGCCCCTTCGGGAACGTCACGCGCTGGTTCCTCACCTGCCTGAACCAGCCCCAGTTCAAGGCCGTGCTGGGCGAGGTGCAGCTGTGCCAGAGGATGGCCCAGTTCGACGGTGGGCACACCTGGGGGCACACCTGAGACACACCTGAGACACACCTGGGGGGTGGGACACACCTGGGGGGGTTAGACACACACCTGGGCGAGGTGCAGCTGTGCCAGAGGATGGCACAGTTCAACGGTGGGCACACCTGGGGCACACCTGGGGACACACCTGGGGCACCTGGGGGGGTTAGACACACACCTGGGGGGTGGGACACACCTGAGCACACCCAAGCACACCTGAGACACACTTGGGGGCACCTGGGCACACACCTGGGGGGGTTGGGCACACCTGGGGGCACACCTGAGCACACCTGGGGGGGTGGGACACACCTGGGCACACCTGGGCACTGTCTTTGGTTCATTCATGCTTTGCAGGGGTCTCGTACAGGGGAAAAGTGGAGTTTCGGGGTTTTTGTAAAATTTAAAAAAGGGAATTTTGGGGTGTTTTAGGGGAATTTGAAGAGGTTTTGTTGGGGCTTGAAAAGTGGATTTTGGGGTGATTTAAAAGGATGGGGTTTTGAAGTGAAAAAGGGGAATTTTAGGGTAATTTAAAAGAGGTTTTTTGAGGTAGAAATGGTGAGTTTTAGGTGAATCTAAAAGGGGTTTTTTGAGGTGAAAAAGATGAATTTTACAAAAATCTAGAAGAGGTTTTTTGAGATAAAAAAGATCAATTTCAGAGTAATTTAAAGTGGGTTTTTTGAGGTAGAAATGATGAATTTTATGGTTATTTAAAAGAGGGTTTTGGAAGTAAAAAATACGAATTTTAGGGTAATTTTAAAAAGATTTTTTGAGTTTAAAAAAGTGAATTTTAGGTGAATTTAAAACTCTTTTCTTGAGGCAAAGAAGCCTCAGAAGCCCCACATTTTCACCCATTTTTCCAGCTAAAAACCCCAAAATAACAATTTCTTCCTCCCGCAAAAAGCCAAGAAGTTTGCGGAGAGCCAGGCCCGGAAGGAGAAGGAGAAGGAGCCCCCCAGGAAGGAGAAGGAGCCCCCCAAGAGGGAGAAGAAGGAGAAGGACAAGGAGAAGGAGAAGGAGAAGGAGCGGCGGCCGCAGCCCGAGGAGGAGCTGGACGAGTGCGAGCAGGTCCTGGCAGCCGAGCCCAAGGCCAGGGACCCCTTTGCTCACCTGCCCAAGAGGTGGGGACACACCTGGGGGGGTTTGGGACACACCTGGAGACACCTGGGACACACCTGAGAGCTTGGGGACACACCTGGGACACAGCTCAGACACACCCCTGCAGGTCCTGGCAGCCGAGCCCAAGGCCAGGGACCCCTTTGCTCACCTGCCCAAGAGGTGGGGACACACCTGGGGACACCTGGGGGGGTTTGTGACACACCTGAGAGAGGGTTTGGGGACACCTGGGCACACCTGAGACACACCTGGGGGTCACTCAGAGTGTCTGTCCGTCCCCAGTCCGTTTGTCCTGGACGAGTTCAAGCGCAAGTACTCCAACGAGGACACGCTGGGGACAGGGGTCACTGTGAGGGGTTTGGGGTCACCCTGACTGGTCAGGGGTCACCCTGAGGGGTCACTCTGGGGTCACTGTCTGTCTGTCTGTCGCAGTCCGTTTGTCCTGGATGAGTTCAAGCGCAAGTACTCCAACGAGGACACGCTGAGGACACCGCGGGCTTTGGGGTCACTCTGAGGGGTTTGGGGTCACTCTGACCAGTCAGAGGTCACCCTGAGGGGTCACTCAGAGTGTCCGTGTGTCCGCAGTCCGTTTGTCCTGGACGAGTTCAAGCGCAAGTACTCCAACGAGGACACGCTGTCGGTGGCGCTGCCGCACTTCTGGGAGCACTTTGACCGCGAGGGTTGGTCCCTGTGGTACTGCCAGTACCGGTACCCCGAGGAGCTGAGCCAGACCTTCATGAGCTGCAACCTCATCACAGGTGCGCCTTCATCCCCATCATCATCCTCTTCTTCATCCTCTTCTTCATCATCATCTTCATCCTTATCCTCTTCTTCATCCTTATCCTCATCTTCATCCCAATCCCTGCCATCCCCATCCCTGTCCTTCCCCACCCCGAGGAGCTGAGCCAGACCTTCATGAGCTGCAACCTCATCACAGGTGCGCCTTCATCCCCATCATCATCCTCATCCTCTTCTTCATCCTCATCTTCATCCTCATCTTCTTCCTCATCCTTATCCTCATCTTCATCCCAATCCCCGCCATTCTCATCCCTGTCCTTCCCCACCCGTGTCCTTCCCCACCCTGAGGAGCTCCCCCAGACCTTCATGAGCTGCAACCTCATCACAGGTGCGCCTTCCTCATCATCATCCTCATCCTCTTCTTCATCATAGGACAAGGAGAAGGAGAAGGAGAAGGAGCGGCGGCCGCAGCCCGAGGAGGAGCTGGACGAGTGCGAGCAGGTCCTGGCAGCCGAGCCCAAGGCCAGGGACCCCTTTGCGCACCTGCCCAAGAGGTGGGGACACACCTGGGGGGGTTTGGGGACACCTGTGGGGCTGGGATACACCTGAGAGGGTTTGTGACACACCTGGGCACACCTGGGACACACCTGCAGGTCCTGGCAGCCGAGCCCAAGGCCAGGGACCCCTTTGCGCACCTGCCCAAGAGGTGGGGACACACCTGGGGGGGTTTGGGGACACCTGGGCACACCTGAGACACACCTGGGGGTCACTCAGAGTGTCCGTGTGTCCGTGTGTCCCCAGTCCGTTTGTCCTGGACGAGTTCAAGCGCAAGTACTCCAACGAGGACACGCAGGGGACAGGGGTCACTGTGAGGTTTCAGGGTCACTGTGAGGGGTTTAGGGTCACCCTGACCAGTCAGAGGTCACCCTGAGGGGTCACTCAGTGTCTGTCTGTCCCCTGTCCGTCCCAGTCCGTTTGTCCTGGACGAGTTCAAGCGCAAGTACTCCAACGAGGACACGCTGGGGACACCACGGGGTTTGGGGTCGCTTTGGGGGTTTTAGGGTCACTCTGACCAGTCAGAGGTCACCCTGAGGGGTCACTCAGAGTGTCCCCGTGTCCGTGTGTCCCCAGTCCGTTTGTCCTGGACGAGTTCAAGCGCAAGTACTCCAACGAGGACACGCTGGGGACAGGGGTCACTTTGGGGTTTCAGGGTCACTGTGATGGTTCTGAGGTCACCCTGAGGGGTCACTCAGAGTGTCCGTGTGTCTGTCCGTCCCAGTCCGTTTGTCCTGGACGAGTTCAAGCGCAAGTACTCCAACGAGGACACGCTGGGGACAGGGGTCACTGTGAGGGTTTTTCCCCCATTCCCAGCTGTGCCCGGACTGGCAGGTGGATTACGAATCCTACACCCCCCAAAAACCCTCAAAAATGCTCCAGAAAATCGAATTTCTGTGCAGTTTTTGCTAGGAACATTGGATTTTTTTGCTGTTTTTTGCAGGAAATTTACATTATTTTATAGTAAATCCCATTTTCCCTGTTTTTCTCCCCATTTTCCCAGCTGTGCCCGGACTGGCAGGTGGATTACGAGTCCTACACCCCCAATACCCCCCAACAAACCCCCAAAAATCCCATTTTTCACACCGTTTTTGCTAGGAATATCCGATTTTTTGCAGGAAATGTAATTTTTTTTTTTAACAATTCCCATTTTCCCTGTTTTTCCCCCCATTCCCAGCTGTGCCCGGACTGGCAGGTGGATTACGAGTCCTAAACCCCCCAAAAATCCTTCGGAAAATCGAATTTCCGTGCAGTTTTTGCTGGGAATATTGGATTTTTTTGCTGTTTTTTCCAGGAAAATTAAGATTTTTTTTAACAATTCCCATTTTCCCTGTTTTTCTCCCCACTTTCCCAGCTGTGCCCGGACTGGCAGGTGGATTACGAGTCGTACACCTGGCGCAAGCTGGACCCCGACAGCGCCGAGTGCCGGACGCTGGTGACGGAATATTTCCTGTGGGAGGGGGAGTTCCAGCACGTGGGCAAGCCCTTCAACCAGGGCAAGATCTTTAAGTGATTCTGGGTGAAAATCCCGGGGTTTTGGGCAAAAATCCCGAAATTCCAGAGCCCTTCAACCAGGGCAAGATCTTCAAGTGAAATTTGGGTTAAAATCCTGGGATTTTGGGCAAAAATCCCGAAATTCCAGAGCCCTTCAACCAGGGCAAGATCTGCAAGTGAATTTTGGGTTAAAATCCTGGGATTTCAGCTCAAAATCCCAGAAATTTGTACTGAAATCCCAGGGTTTGGGGCCCTACAACTAGGTCAAGATTTTCAAGTGAAATTTTGGGTGAAAATCCTGGGATTTTGGGCAAAAAAATCTCGGATTTCAGAGCCCTTCAACCAGGGCAAGATCTTAAGTGAAATTTGGGCTGAAATCCCCGGATTTTGGGCAAAAATCCCACAATTCCAGAGCCATTCAAGCAGGGCAAGATCTTTAAGTTAATTTTGGGTTAAAATCCTGGGATTTTGGGCAAAAAAATCTCGGATTTCAGAGCCCTTCAACCAGGGCAAGATCTTAAGTGAAATTTGGGCTGAAATCCCCGGATTTTGGGCAAAAATCCCAAAATTCCAGAGCCATTCAAGCAGGGCAAGATCTTTAAGTTAATTTTGGGTTAAAATCCCGGGATTTTGGGGCCCTTCAGTCACTTCAAGATCTTCAAGAGAAATCTGGGTTAAAATCCCCGAATTTTGGGCTCAAATCCAGAATTTTGGGTTAAAATCCCCGAATTTTGGGTTGAAATCCCAGAATTTTGGATGGAAATCCCAGGATTTTGGGTTGAAATCCCAGGATTTTGGGTCCTTCCAGCACAGCCGGATCTTCAAGCGCCCCCTGGAATTTTGGGCCGAAATCTCGGGATTTTGGGGCCCTCTGGGAGTTTTTGCTTCTTCAGCCCCGATCCAATAAAAAGTTTGGGACAGGACGAGAGTTTGGAGTTTTTTTGGGGGGATTTGGGGTTTTTGGAGGATTTTGGGGGGTTTGGCCGTCTGGATCCAGTTGGGCCCAGTTTGGTTCCAGTTGGGCCCAGTTTGGTTCCAGTTCATTCCCACTCCAATCCCAGTCCCTCCCAGTCCATTCCCAGTTTATCCCAGTCCATCCCAGCCCCTCGCAGTCCGTCCCAGTCCATTCCCAGTTTATCCCAGTTCAATCCCAGTCTGTCCCAGTCCATCCAAGTCCGTTCCCAGTCCATTCCCAGTCTGTCCCAGTCCCTCCCAGTCCGTCCCAGTCCATCCCAGTCCATCCCAGTCCCTCCCAGTCCGTCCCAGTCCCTCCCAGTCCATCCCAGTCCATCCCAGTCCCTCCCAGTCCGTTCCCAGTTTCCGCCTCTCCCCGGCCGCGCCCTCCTGAGTCACCCCCGGGCGGTGACAGCGCCCCCGCCCCCCCCGGGGACAGACGGACAGGGAGGGGACAGAGGGACGGACAGGGAGGGGACAGACGGAGAGAGGGGACACGGGACAGACAGACACAGGGACAGGAGGGACAGGGAGGGGACACAGGGGACAGACGGACAGAGGGCACACCCGGCCCGGGCGCGGCCCCGCTGTCCCCGGGAGCGCCCGCGGGCGGTGCCACCCCCGGTGCCACCCGAGCGCCACCAAAGTGTCACCAAAGCGCTCGGAGCGGTGCCACCCCCGGTGCCACCCCGGTGCCACCAGCGGTCCCGGGCTGAGCTGGCACCGCCCGAGCGCCACCCCCGGTGTCACCAAAGCGCCACCGGAGCTGCCACCGGAGCTGTCCCCACCCGGGCCCCTCCTGCCCCCAGTTCAGTCCCAGTTCAATCCCAGTCCATTCCCAGTTTGTCCTCTCCTGTCCCCGCCCCTCCCCGGCAATTCTGGAATTAATTATTCCCGAATTAATTATTCCAGAATTAATTATTCCATAATTAATTATTCCAGAATTAATTCTCCCGGATTAAATTCTCCGGGATTTAATTAGCCGGGATTTAATTACTCCAGAATTAATTACCCGGGTTTAATCACCCGGGACTCCCGGGGTTCCCCCCGCGCTGCCCCCCCCACACCCCCCTGCCA